ACCTTGCGCTTGCCAGGCAGGCGCTTTGCCGCTGAGCTAAATCCCCAGCCCCATCAGCAAAGATTGGGCCAGGACCGCCGTGCAGACAGCGGCTGCAGACGCTGCCGCAACAGCTCAGATGGCTGAGGCGGCTGAGTCACTTGTGCCATCACCTAGCCCTAGGGTGAGTGCCCCCGGGGCAACCGACAAATCAGACTTTAGAAGCTAGTTTTAAAGAACTGATTCAGAATGTCAACGTGCAGGATTGGGATGGTCTCAGAGGTTGTCACGGGTTATGTCTGGGCATGTTCCATATTCTTTTCTTATTATAAAGCAATACATGAGACTGGGAATGTAACCCAGTGACAGAACATTTGCCTAGCATGCAGGAGTCAGTCCATAGCACTGGACACAAGAGAAGGCGGTAACACACAACCACTGCGGTGAAGTTTAGAATCGAGATAAAGCTGGGCATGGTCGCACACGCCTGGAATCCCAGCGCTCTGGGAGGAAGGCAGGAGGACCACAAATTTATTCTCTCAATGAGACCTTATCTCAAAATAAAAAGTAAAGAAGAGGCCTGAAGAGGTAGCTCAGGGCAAAGGCCCTGGGTTCAGTCCTTGGGGGGTGCAAAAACCCAAAACATAGAATGGAGAGAAGATAAAAGAAAAAAGTAATGACGGTCTCACACCTCTGGGCTCCTCCTTGAAATGGATCGTAGTGACACTTTTTAAATGTCACCAAAAGATTTAGGAAATTTTCTATCAAATTTCTAGCTATGACCAGCATTAAACATATATTATTATTACTTGATTTGTGTTTCTGATTTTAAAAGATTTATTTATTGATTGTTTTATTTTACTTTCTCAAATTATTATTTCAAATAATTATTATTTCTGTATGGTGATGTTTTTTAGTTTTTATTTATTTTTAAATTTTTTTTATTTTTATTTTTTAAAGGAATAAAATATACCAGATCCTGCTAAAAGCCCATCCTCAATCCAGGTGTGGTGGCATATACTTGTAATCCCAGCCCTCAGGAGGCTGAGGCAGGAGGATCATTTCGAGTTTGAGGCTAGCCTGGGTTACATAGTGAGTGCAAGGCCTGGCTGCACTACACAGTGACACCCTGTCTCAAAGAACTCCAAAACAAACAAAAACAAACACAAGCATCTTCGTTCTCTC